TGGGGACGGTGCAGTTTGTCCCCCACGGGTTGTTCCTCCAGGGTGGCCCTGGGCTGTGGGTCCCGAGCTGTGGGCACCCCCCAGATGGGGCTCCCCGCTACCCCCAGGCAGTGACTGACCCGGGCTGGGCTGGGGTGAGAGCCTGGGGGCTGCTGCCCTGTCCCGCCATCCCTCCCCACGTCCCCCTGCTCCAGCAGTGTCCCTCTGTGGCCTTGCTCTTGGAGCGGCCACTCTGTGTTTTCTTCAAAAAAAGGAAAAAAGTTCCCTTTGCTTACTGCTGAGCTCATTTTTAAACATTTATATTAGGGGGGCTTGCAGGGGAGGAGAAATAATTGTGTAATGTCTTAGGAGCAAGGGAGCATTCCAAAACCATGACTGCGCGGCCCTTTCCAGCACTAACAATCTGGCAGCCAAGTCTTCCCAGCAGCCTCCAAACCCCTAAATCCAGCCTCAGCCTCTCGACCCCCCGTGAAGGCAGCAGCGCGGTCCCCAGGTTGCTTCGCAGGGCGCATGGCGCGGGGGGTGGCCTGGGAGCGGGGACCTGGCTGAGGCCCCGGGCCGGGCAGCAGCCACATCCCCAGCGAAGCGTTCAGGTTGTGAAACCGGAGACGGGGAGGTCGCGGCTTTGGCCGGCTGTATTTCACTGAGACCAGTTGCACTTTTATTTTCATTTTCCCAAACGCTTTTTGGTGTCCAGACAATTCCAGCTTAGGTTCAGCTGCAGGAAGCACAGCTACAGGCTGTGTGGGATTTTACGGACCTTAAATTGAATCCGTGTGCCTGACAGCTACAGCTTCTCTAGGGAAACGTTTTTCTAAGTGGAAAATAAGCCAAGTCACTGTCTTCCAACAGGTTATCGGGAGCGTTTAACCAGGCTCACCTCCTAACTCGCTGTTTGCACTGGAGAGGCATATTGACATGAAAAGTAAGGAATGTATTAGCAAATATCGATTGGCCCCGGGGCAGCGGCAGTCAGGCGTTGCTCAAGTACAGGCATCTGCTGAGGTTGGGGCACGTTATTTGAAGCTTT